TTCTTTTCATCAAAGTACTGATAAACCTGTAAGTAACACCTGACCTATGATTCTCTGTTGAATCAAACTGATGGTTAATCCTTCATTCATCCCCCAAAGGGGTAGCCAACTTCTAGCGGAAGGAAAACCAGCCCTGGAAGCAAAGCAGTCAAATTAGGGCTCAGGTTGCACATGCTAACTAAAAAGTAAAAGCATGTATTTGTAGGTATAACTTCGCTCTGTAACTTATTACTTGTATTATCCTAGCTAATTTAATTTTCATTTACAAATCTTGACAATCAATGACAATTTAAAGTATGTTAAAATACTTGAAAAATATAAAACACAACTTTACTTATTTAATTTTATTGCATAGATTATGTCAATTTTTCTGTGAAAATAAGCATATATATTCATGATCAGTAGGTAATTTTCCCAGCTCTGAAATTCAGACTATTTTACCTTTATATTTTTAATATTTATAAATTATGTAATTTTAGTATCAAACACTAAAAACTTGGGAGAAGATGAGCTACATAGAGTGACACACTGGAGGAAGAGATATTTGAACTTGATTGCATCTTTAATTTATTTATGCCAGAAATATAATAAATCCAAGCACTGTGCTACACAAACAGTGGAATGCATTGGTGAACAGGCCATCTTGTCCTCATATAATGTCAATATAACAAAGAAATGAGACATTAAACTAAACAGAACATATATAATTAATTTTGTAACAAAAATGGCTGGTGAGAGTTGTTAAGAAATCATCCAACCCTATCTGGAAGGTTAGAAGTGGCTGTACCAATTGTACCGTCTGTTGTTAGCCCAACAGCCCTAACTGTTCACTAACCTGTTTGGTGTGTGTGATGATGCGTGTGTGCACGTAATACATGTGACTGTGGCAGCTGGGGGACAAACTCGGTGCCACTCCTCTGGAGGTACTGTCTACCCTGTTTTTGAGGCAGGGTTTTGCTCCCTGGCTGGTAGCTCACTCGGTAGGCCAGACAGTCTGCCTCTGCCTCCCAGCACTCGGATTATGTATGGGACACATACCACCTTATCCAGCTTTTTACACGAGTACTGGGGACTTGACTCAGATCCTCTTGTTTGCATGGCAAGGACTTCATAGACCTGGCTACTTCCCCAACCCCAACTTCAGCCCTTCCTCTCTAAAAACATCATCATTGTAAAAGTAGTACTGTTTTCCTCAGGAACAACTATACCCCCCCCCCAGGGCTTGGGAGACTAGAGACCCTCACCCCTACCACCCAGGAAGACTGTACCAGCTGGATTCACATTTCAGTTAGGGGTGGGGGTGGGATGCTGAGTATACTTTCTTCACTCACACTTTCTTTATATGTCCTTGAACAATTAGGCAGACATTTCCTTAACGGTAGCTCAGACCTGCGTGAAATCCTCCTGACTTGACTGTTCCTTTCAGTATCAATTACTTGGTCTCTGTCTAAACGTCTTCTTCTCGAAGAAGCCTCCTCTGTGGCTACCTACTCTAATACAGCTTTCCAGTTTTTCTCTATCACAACCGCATATTTTATTACTTTTATGGCCAAAAATTGCCTAATACATTTGTTTATTTACTTATTAGTACACATTACTCCAATCAACTTTACCATAAAAGGTAAAGCGAGAAAGGAAGCCTCGCTTCCCCCTCTCTATCAGCCTCCCTGTTCTTCCTGCTGTGTTTAGGGAGTGAGGAGGGATGAAGGGCACTATTCACTCCACGAACAGTGCCAGGAGGCTGTTATCTCCACCAGCCATGTACTCAGAGGACAGCCTTACATTTTCTAGTGAAGGCACCACAAGAGAGCTCCCAGTTCACAACAATCTTTCCTTCCTGAGGAAACATGCAGAAAAAACACTTACCCTTCTCCTGCCTTTCACTTTTTACAAGAAGCAATGCCAGGCACCTGCAGCAGACCTATTCCATCCATGACAAACACTGCAGGGGCAGCAGAAAAGCTGGTCCTGAGCTGTCCTGTTCTTGAACTACCCCTTCAACTCTGCATGACGACACCTGAATTACTACTTCAGATGCTGTGGGGTAGGGACTGACTTTTAGCCATTTTCTACGCCCTATTTTGATACTTAGAAGCAAAAACAGTGTAAACTCTTAAATTTCTTTTGTTTCATTAAGAGGTAGGACCTGGTGGTGGGCCTGTGGGATTTCCAGAGGGTAAAATGAAATAAGGACAAAGTGTGAAAAAAAACAGTCAAATCAGAGCATTGCTGGTTTTGTTACTATTAAGCAGTGGGCATTCTATGACAATAATGCACACCACCTTCATTTGTAATTTTGCAGGAAGCATTCATTTTAATTTTTATGTAAGGTAACTTATTACACAGTAATTCTTCTACTTACATTTGGGCCATCTATAAAGTAGCTTTTGGTTCTTGTTTTAATCTCAGATTTGAAGTATGTAAACTAGAGAACAGACAAGTATCAGATCACTTACAAAAAGTCATGGTGTCAAGGACGAGCTTTGACATCAACTCTTCTAACTTAAGTGGACAACTTTCACGTTCCATTCTTGCCTTCCATCACAAATATTTCATTGGTATTTTAATATGGCTTGATTTTACAACAAATTAAAATTAAAACTATATTAGTAATTAAAACTATATTTATCAATAGCGACAACTACAAAACATTTAAAAATAGAAAAACAAATAAGAAAGTGCTGTGCTTCAGTTTCCACAATGCTGAACTATTTTGAAATCATGCCTATAATGTAAAGTTAATACAGAATATAAACATAAGATCTTCCCAGATCACTGGTTGAAGAGCACTATGGCTCAATCATGATGTAAAGTGTCATGACGGCTCCTCATTGGCTGGTAGGGGTCCTGAATGACATCCAATCATCAGGTTCTTAAAGCAAAATATGAAAATTATTATGACCAGAAAACGGTTTCAACTGCGTTTATCTCTTAAAAGGTAAAGGACTATAAAGATTAAGCACAGATGATACAGAAATAGACAGGTGACACACCACTACGCCAGCACTGCCTAGGCTGCTTCAGAAAAGTTTCTGCTCTTGGAACTATCTGAAAATATGAATATCTCCACTCTTGGGAATCCTCTAGCTAGTAACTCACTCTGACAAAAATCACTGCTCATCCATCATGGCCAGCATTGAATCTAAAACCTTCATGGAAAAAAAAACTCTTGTTTTTGTGACCCAATGAGCCTGCTTTGCCGTACTGTGGCACAATGTGTAATGCTTGGAAAGGCACAGCTCTGCGAAGAGCGTGGTGGGCCACCATCTTTACCTTGTGCTATCTTTTTAGTGTGTATGTGGTGTCAGTGTAGTAGTCAGGTAACTCTCCATCATCCCATCAACTTAGAAAATGTCGTGTACAAATGGCTGTCATGGATATAAAATACATTCAAAATCTGATAAGCACTCTTAGAATGGGAATATTTCCAATTGAGTTTTATTCAAAACTATCTTCCAAAATTGAAAAATCCATATTATTCTAAAGTTGTTTTAAGCCCAGTTTTTTAAAGTGTGTTCTTGATAAACTTAAATTTTAACTTATGTTTACCAAGGATTAACTGTGCATCTACCTAATGTAATTCTCACAGTGGCATCAAAGCAGTAAATGCGCAGGAGTATAGAACAATCCCATGTATGCCAAAACACAATTATAACTTTGTGTGTCTTAAACTGCATATGCATCAAGATAGTTTCAGAGTTGTAAAGCTGTAAGTGGGTCCTGATCCTATGATCCAACACTAATATATGGTTATCTCCATGCTTTTTAGAGGGAAGGTTCTAAATTTAAATCTTACTTGGAACTGTAAACTATAGGGTAGAACGGAAACCACAGGCCAGCCTCCACCTGGGCATCCAGAAGATGGTCTTATTTCAAACAATACAATTCTGTTCTCCAGTAGCAACTAGAGATGTAACCCACATTTGGTACATTACTACAGACTCAAATTCAATGATTTCTCTCTTTATCCTGAATTGTTTTTATGGGCAAAGTGGCTTTGAAAGTATGAAAGTAAACTTTTTATATTGCTGCTAGCTCTTAAAGTATATAGTATTTATATTATTTTCAAGAATTACAATAAATCTCTACATAAGATACTAAAATTTGCCAGACTTGGTGGCGCACACTTTTAGTCCCAGAGCTTGGGAAGCAGAGGCAGGTGGGTCTCTGTGAGCCTGAGGTCAGCCTGGACCACCTAGAAAGTTCCAGGCCAGCTAGAGTTACATGGGGGAGATCTTGTAACTGACCATCTCAATTCTTTCTTTAGATTCATTCCTTTAAAAACCAGGGGCTTTATTCTTTTTCTAAAATAAAAGACATCAATCAAAAAATTTTTTTCACAGCTAAAATGACATTTCAGATCCAAATTACTCGTCCTTTTAGAGGAAACATGGCAGAAACTAAAAGAAGAGTTGGTATCTTTGGTTCCCATAAAGATCTCTCAATGGTCTCAGAAACCCTGTGAACTAGGATGTCAGAAGGGAAGAGCATGTGCTTTGCAGGCACAAGGCTGTGAATTTGACCCTTAGCACCTCCCTCCCAAAAGAGTAAACTAGCAATATTAGATTGTGTCAACTGTTCATCAAACAAGTTTCTAATTCAGAGAGAGAAGAAAGAAAGGAAAAGAGGAAGAGTTGTAATTTTTGCTTGGTAGGTATGTTTTGATGATGAAAGAGAGGAGAAGGTGATGGGCAGCAGACACCAACCCCTTAAAACTCAACTTCAGTAGCATTTAAATGTTCTTCCTGTCGTAACCACTTAAAGGAGCATACAGCAAATTTCATCTCAGAATTTGCAAGTATAAGAACTGACAGGTAAACACTGAAGTTACTTTTCGCTGTCCCATGTGAAGTTTCATTTCTGTGTTCAATCACTGTTTGCTATGTGCCCATCTTCAGTTCTTAGCAAATTCTTCTGTCAGGATCAGAACAGAATGTTAACAAGTGAGAAGCCGGAGTGCTTGCCTGGCCTCCCATAAAGGTGGGGGTGGTGGCACACACCTCCATTTCCAGTACTTGTGAGGTGGAGGCAGGAGGGTGAAAAGTTCAAGGTCATCCTTGAGCTTGAGGGTAGTCTGGACTACAGGAGACCCACCTCAAAAACAAAACAACAACAAACAGTATCAGTATTGATAGGCTCATCACTATTGGTAATGTGGTTTAAAGTTTCATACAGAAACTGCTCACAACTATTACATTTAACTTAAAATTGTCAGTGATCAAACAAAATCTCTGGAAAGTCTAGAGAGACAAGGATTCTTCATGATTTTAGGACTCTAACTTCCTTCTCTGAATGTTCTGTGCCTCCCACATTACATACATAATTACAATCTGCCAACATGGAAAGCCAAGAGCACAGGGATACAGCATTGGTCAAGATTAGATAGCTGACCAAATCTTGATTCTGTAATATCTAAAGATGTAATACTCGTTCTCTACATCAGTGACACCCTATCAGAGACAGGGAAGATAACCTGGTCACTGAAAGTGGGTCTTTCAGTTTCAATAACAAGAGCCAAAGTTGGAGAAACCTTTGTTCCAAACCAGGCTTTCCTACTTTCAAGTATCTTATCCCTGGGTAGTTACTTAATCAGACGGGGATTCTGTCATGTTACATCAGCGAAGGAGTGGTTAAGTTCCTATCAGGGTTGTTGGGAGAAAACATATGAAAAAATATGAATAAGGAGAAAATAAACACGAAACTCTCGACATAGTGATGGCACCCACATGGCTAAAAACAAGTTACTTCTGTTATACTATTGTTTGGGAATATTTTTAAAATAAAACTAAGTTAAAGAATACAAAACTCAACCTTGTGTGTCCTCACAATGGAAAGGCTCATCAGCAAGAAACTGGTACTTCCAGTGTTAGAAGGCAGGGTTCTTAATGTCAGAAAAAACTTCCAGGATTAGAAGGCAGGGTTCTTAATCTCAGAAAAAAAAAGCTTAAGAAATAAAAAGTATTGTCTCCTACTCAAGAAACATTATAGGGAAAGCTAAATATAAACAACTAATTACACAATTATTTAATTGCCATTTTGATCAATTTGATAAGGAAAGAACTAAGCCAGTGGCAATAATCTAACAGGACAGAATTAAAAATGCTATGTAAACATCCCACCTTCCTCCATGGTTGTTGAGCCACTCTCCATAACTGAACCTACTGTAAACCTCTGAGTAGGCCTGACCTGTCCATTTTGTAAAACAAAATACGTATATTAACCTGACCCTAGCCAATTTTTATGTTCAGAACTACAAAACAACATTTTAGAAATTATACAAGCCACAAATTAATTTCAAGTATTTTATGTAGTGATCTCTTGCTGCAAGAGAAAGCAAAGATTTAGTGCAGGGAAGCAGCATCCATTATGAAGCTCTGTGAGAAAAGACTCTTGATTATAAAACTATGTTCATGTTCTGCTTGCCATTATTCATGACTCATTTTGCAGAATAGTTTTATTAAAATGCACTCATACTTATTACTGAAATAAAAAATTATTTGTGATTTTGAAGACTGAAGAAGTCCTAAGTCACTTACCAGACAATTCTTTATCCCTCAGCTATCTCTTAAACTCTGCCAACTTAAAAATTAAAAATAAAAATCCGTTGCCATACCTTTAATGGCAACTTCAAGTTTCCTATCTTCTGTACTCAGTATACCCATGTCGGTAACAGACAATAGTGATCAGATCAACTCTCCCATCCAAATGACACTGATTCTGTAAAAATAGGGTGCGCTTTAATGTTTGTCTTAGATTTGCTAGGAATTAATGCAGAAACAATGAACCCAGAACAGGCACTGTCAATTCTCCAAAAGTGGCCTCTCGCTCTAGCCCATAAGGCAAAGCCAGTTAAGAATTCCTACTGACAATGTAGTAAACAGAAGAAATATTTAAATCAAACAGCACCATCTAGCAGAACCCTCATTACTTTGCTCCTAAGAGTTGATCTTACTTGGTGTTCAGTTTGGCAGATCTGAGAGTAAAAGCGGTAATGGCTTGTTTTTCTGACAGAATCACAGAATTAGAGCTAGGAAGAACCAAAACATACCAAGTTGAAATTCCTTGTTGTATCAGCATTAAAAATCAATTTTATTTTTGTTTTTGTTTTGTTTTGTTTTAAGCCATGAGACTATAGAATCGACTCTGCTAAGTATCAGCCATTTCTGGGAGTGCAGGTCAAACCCAAATTACTTTAATACCAAATTCAGTCAAGTCCCAGTAAGATTCTGTTTTCAATACATCACAATTCCTTCACTGCCTGTAACGTGAAATCCACGTATCTCATCATCCTTCAGCTGTCTGTATCAGATATATCACAGACAGATGATTAATAAGCACAAACTAGTATTTTAAAACTCCAAGTCCAGTAACTACAATTTCTTAACCAGGCAATAAACACTCTGTTTTATATACTCCTTGTTACAGCAAGATCTTAAAATATCAGTGGCAGAGGGACCAATAGCATCTCTCCATTAATGTTGTTGCTGTTGTGTTTTGTTTTCCTACATCAAGGCCAGTCTAAATCCTACGGGAATTGTGTGTGTGTGTGTGTGTGTGTGTGTGTGTGTGTGTGTGTGTGTGTGTCTGCCAAGACTAGGATTATAAAATGCTCCCCTCCCCGGGGCACAACAAACTTTCAAGGGGAAGCCTAACTGCCTAACGCAAGGAGGGAAACTCGGTAGGCTACCCGTTGTGTTTTTATTTACCAAGCTACCTTTCGTGTACAAGGGACCCAAAGTAGCTCTGCGAAATCCTCTGGCTCCTCCAGCCTGACCCCCCCGGCAGGACCGTGTGTTCCACGACCAGGGCAAGCTTGACCCTCGGCGCAGCCCCCGCTCGGGGGAATCAGTCCGAACGTCTGCACACGGGAAGGGGGGAGGGCTGCTCCCCAGTGTCACAGCCACCACCCGCTCCTTTTAGTAACAGCCCAGTCGCCCTTAGCAGTGCGGCAGGGCGGCCGCCGGCGAGCCGGCTCCACGGCGTCCTCCGCGGCCCCGCCAACTGGCCACCTGTGTCCCCGCGACCCGGCGGGCGCCCGGCTCCTCCGCCGCGCGGCCCCGGCCCTCCGCGGCCACCGCCCCCGGGGCTCGGCGGGGACGCAGCAAGTCTCAAAAAGTTGCGGGGCCGCCGGGCCGGCGCGCGCCCGCCCTCCGGGAACCCGGGGCTCCCGCTCCCAAACT